AAAAAAAAAAAAAAAACTTGATGCCTCCAATGAAATAAAATCATCTTCCTTTTTTCTCACATGATCCCTCCAAAATTACAGAGAAACTTTCCTACATGGTTAAGACAGCAGCACAGAATGGGGAGGAAGAATTGAAGTATTAGCAGAAGCCAGTCCTTGGTTCCAGGTCTCCTCCTTGTAGGAATTCTTCAACACAGAGACACTTTCCTGCCCCAGTTGTGTCTTGCCTCTCACCCTGTTGCTGTCACTAACACAGACCTTCCCACAGCTCATGTACACTGTTTTGTTGGGGAACAACAGAATCTGCGGAAGGTCTGGATCGACATCCCCAGAGGACTCAAGATTCCTAGAAAGGCTATGGATGGGCTGGGTGAAGCAATCTGTTTAAAAATTTCTTTATGGTTTCTGTAGCATCTGGATTTTGGATTTTCGTCATGACAGAGAAAAAAGTAAAACAGACAAGAATAAAGGGGAGGCTAAGGGTTCAATAATCAAACTTGAAATTATAGTACTTGAATGAAAACATAGCTGCTTTTCATTTGTGCTGCCAGGACCCTTCCTTCAAAATCACTTTTAGGTATTTCAACTAGATTGAGCTCCCTAAAAAGCACAGACTACATTGGAGAGCTGGCCAAAAGGCAGATACTTGTCACAAAAACCAGCACGTTTTGCAGAAGGTACAAGGCAAGGGTGAATGTCTTCACCTTTTTTTTCAATATTTTACATTGCAGAGACCTCAGAAAAAAGCCAGTGGAATCTACTTCCCTGAAAAAACCAACAGGTGATTCGTAGTAGCTAGCTTGGTTTTGGGGGCACTTGTCTTTGAAGCTGCCTCCCAGAAGTGTGAGCATGTGCAAACATGTAGTCCAGTTTACTCATTAGAAGGGAGCTATCTCAGTAGGCTGAGGATAAGTAAAGTTACCAGCTTCACAGACATACACAGTATGCTAAATGATCACCAGCTATTTCCACTTGTCTCCTATAGCTGGAATGAATGGCATTTAATTATTCACTCCTTCTAAATACGTTGAGCAGTTACCAATATGCAAGGACCTCTGTTCTGCTAGGTACAAAAAAGTGAAGGCAGGGTCTCTGCTCCAAAGGCACAGGGAAGATAGATGGCTCAGTAGAATGAGAGACGACCGGAAGTAACTGAGTAAATGAGGGTAAGAATTGAGAAAATGTTATTGGGTGTCAGGGCATAGTGGGAGGTACATCTTCACTTGTCCTGACTCTTTCAGGAGAGAGTGGGAATTGGCCAGCTGGAGGAAAGCGCTGGATGTTTTTGGTAAAGTGAACAATATGGCAGAGATTTAGTGACAGTCAAGCGGAGGCAAGTGCAAATGTGGCTGAGGAGAAAATAGCTTTTGTTGACCCCCCTACACCTCCATCTGCCTTGTCTAAGCTACATCCAATAAAAATATAGTCTAATAAAAAACTCTGCAGAGTTGCAGATCAACTCCCCCAGCCCTAGTTTAATTTGCTTACAGACTTTACATAGAAGATCTGGAGGGGCCACCCTGGGAATGATTTTTGCACAGAAGTTAGGTATAGAAGGAGGAGAGCGATAAAATGTGTGCCACACTGAGTGTCTCCATTGTTGCTTGACTTGATTTCTTCATTGCATCTGTCTCTCCTGCCTAAAACTTGGTGAAGAATTAAAGCTGAGATTATACGAAAAGTTTACGTCAGGTGAGGAAATAGTCCTTTTAGTTTCTCCTCAGCCGTGTCCAACCTAAGTTTGCTGACGTTGGGGATGATGTCTCTTTGTGTTCATTTCTATTTCTTCACCACCCACTGCATTGCCTATATATAACAGATATACAGTCATTATGTTGTGGATGAGTGAATTCCTGGGTAAATGAGCAACTGTGAATATTGGTAAGTAAATGCTATTTTGCTTATAATTACAGAAAGAATGAATGCCTTACTCAACGTCACCCACTGAAAATGCATTTAAGTTTGAACAGCCATTCAATTATAGCAAGAGTAATTGCTCACTGCTGTGTTATGGATGTGGTCCAATTCCTAGGAAAAATACTTACATGCATTATAAAAGCATAATTTCACCTGACACCAAGTGGCTCCCTTGCAAGTTCCTTCCTGACAAAAGTAAAGTAGACGTTCCCTAATACATCAAGAGTGACTCACCTTTTCATTTCCAAGTACTGTTCCTTCCAGCGTGAGTATGACATTTGCTTAAAAAATAAAGCCAGTTCCATCCAAGTAAATGACATCTGGACAGCTCTTTAAGGTGAGCATTTTATTGGAATATAGGCATTTGGCAGAGTAAATACATGGTTACAAAGTATTCTAAGTTTATGTGTTTTGTATAGTGACCATAAAAATTAAACCATTGTAAAAACAATGTAGATTTTTTTTTTAAATTTTAAAGTTGCAGACTTCAGAAAGAAAACCCCGAAACCCATATGTTTATGGGAAAGTAGAAACACATGTTGCCAACTTTTTTATTCAGTGTAACTATTATTTTTTGAGTCAGGGATGTCCTTCTCTTCCTCATATTAAAATTGTTATGTAGCACATATCACTGATGCCTGTCTGAAATAAAGGATTTATACATGCCAGGCAAGTGCTCTAATACTAAGCCAGAACCACTGGCCATTGAGCACTTTTTCTAATGAATTAAAAATCACTTTTTTTTTTCTCTCTGAAGGAATGGTAAAAACCCTCTGAAATCACTGCCTGTCATCTGGAGAATTACAAAACCAGACTTGTGAATTCTTTAATAAGATGTAGAGTATCATACCTAAAGATCTTCAGTTCTTCACATATAGCCTCTTTTATTTTTGTACCAGGGATTGAACTCAGGACCTTGCACAGGCTTGGTGCCAGGAGCTACATCCCCAGCCCCACATACAGCCTCTTCACAAAGCTTTTCGATAAAATGGAATCTTATCCTCAATCTCCAAAATAGTTTTTAAAAAGTGAGAGAGTTTACTGTGCATACTGCAAGGTACTACTGTCTGCTCCAAGCAAAACAGGAAAACTTGAGAAACCATTTTTTTAAGGAAAATATTCTTTCTTTGTGAAAGGCCAGTAATAACACAGCTTGGTTTAAAGTCATTTTTTTTTCTAAGCATATCTTGAGGTTTTATGCATGTCTGAAGGCTTTGCCCATAGCAGAGATCCCCAGAGCAGAGCACAGCGACTTTTCATGCTGCCCATTTCAAATCATAATGGCCTTGCTCGCCTGGAAACCACTAAAGCAAAACACACAGATCTGTATGAGAAATAAGGCAAAGGCGTGATAACATGAAGTTACCCCTTCAGCATAGTAACACAGATATAGAATATTTCAATGCACTTCAGTTTCTATTCCATTTTCAAATGTAACAATAGTCCTGCTCATATGAAAGCGCTTGTTTTTGTGAAATATATCTAGCAAAAGTTCTTGATTGTGTTTTCCAACATGTTCTGCTACTTAGTGCCTAGTTTCAGGATGGACAAAGGAAAGGTACTAATGTTCATCCATCTAATGCAGTGAAATGAACTCTCTTAGGATTGGAAGGGCTCCTGGAATGCAAGAAGCCTTGAGGCGAGCAAAGGGAGGAGGCTGGGAATGCTCTGGGGTAGGGCTGGCCTGAGCTGGGGCTCCACGTATCCACAGTTCTCCCAGAGAGAAGAGCAGGCCTTGTGGGGCTGGAGACTGCTTCTTTGGCTGCCTGTCTTGCTGGGCAGTGCCTCTGGCCATCTGGCCATTTGTCTTTTGGACTCTGAACTTTATTTAAGGGAAGATTCAACAAGGGCAGAAAGCCTAAATGAAACCATCTCCCTGCCTAACAGCAAGCTGCAGGTAGCCCCTGCATAGCAGTGTGCCAGGTGTTCAGATCCTGCATTTCCTGAGCACCTCCTGCACCAGTTCCAGTGTTACACACTGGGGATATTAAAGTTACTTGCCGGGCAGGAAGCCATAACTCAAGGATGTAGAGTTTCAGCAGAAAGCACAAATTATGACTAAGGCTGAATTTCAGTCCTTTGACGAGAGGACCTTCTAGGAGGGTCAGGAAGTAAACATAATTTCAATACACCACGGTAAATGCCAGGATGTGAGTGTGTACTGGCTGAGCAGCAACCAAGGGAGAAATGATCTCTACCTTCCTTAATTATGATGGGATCCCTCAAGCACCTCAGGGTCCAAACACTAAGAAAAGTTAAGGTTCTTCAATATGAAACTATACTGATCCTATTATTAATCCTTTATGACTTAGATATCCAAGACATTCTTCTTGAGATCATGGGAGGAAATATTTTATTTCCCGATTAAATGGCTGAACTCTAGAGAACAAATTCTCTAAAGAACTGATGTGCTTGATGTATTAAATGTACTTGGTGATAATCAAAACAAGCCCTTATGTAATATTTTGGAATGTAATACTGAAATTGTTGAAGGAAGCTTCGAGATACAGTAAACAAACTCTTAGGGAATAATCTAGTATTTTTCTAAAGAAGAACAGAACAATCTTTTTTGTAGATTTGTGCAAGTAAGTCCACTCCATTTTTAATATTAACAGTTATAGTTCACTATCCATTTAGAAGATACATTTCTTTCTGTTCCTTTCAGAAAGAAAAGAATAGCGCCCTTCTCATACAGGGTATCACCAGTGGTTGGTACCTAACAGGGATTCAATTAATGTGCTGAACGACCAAACAAATGATTTCTAATTCTGGTGACATTTGTAACTTGGTGATCTATGCTTTTGGGTTCATTCATTCCCCATCCTAGAATAACCCAGGATTGTTTGAATGGAAAAAGAGAAAGCTATCATGTTTGAAAATTGGCATGATTTCTTCTTCTAGACTAAATTCTCATGGGCCTTTTAACTTATACAAGACAAATCACCTTTATTATTATTATTATTATTATTATTATTATTATTATTATTATTATACCTAACAGTGTGTGGCATGCAGTAGCTGTTCAAATAATGGTTGTTTAATTGTAGCTTTAAGCTTGGTAATTTAGCTGCGCTCTTTGCACAGTCTAAAGCTAATTTGGAATGCTCTCAGGCTTATGCTTGCCAATACAATTTCCTTGCCTCATCTGAATTTCCTTAAAAAGTGGCTAATTGATAAAAATCAACACAATTAGTTAACAAGAAACCGATAGCAGAATTAGTAACAGGCTCATACAGTCCCATAGACTACAATCTTCCTTCCTTTGTTCCTGCTCAGCGTCTCCTGAGACCTACCACTGAGCACCAGTGCTGCACACAGGAGGGGTGACTGTGACTGGTGACCTTGCAGCCTGTGGAGGGACAAATGCTGAGCCCTTAAGGGCGGGGAAGTTGACAGAGTAAATAGTAAGGCTGAAATTACAGTATACTTTTGCATTCTTACTAAAAGTTAAAAATCCTTAAAGTGTGGTAGAAAACTGTACCGCCCAAAGGTGTGGAGTATAGAGAACTGGGCTCCTGCTGCTTTCGGCCTCTGTGGCAACACTGCTGCCCCTCTTGGCCCCTTCAGCCTCACCCCAACACTCCAGTGCCTTTGTGATTCCTATGAAAATGCTAAAGCAGAAAGTCAAGGTGGAGCAGTTCGATTCCACAAAGGTTGGCCTCTGTGCTGGTAGCCTGTGTGCATTTCCTTTGGCTTTATTATTCAACTTAAAGAAATATTTCATAATTTTTCAGATAACTCACATGCGATTCCCACATATACCCATAACCACAACCCTTTGAATCTGTTCAAAGAAAGACTTGCCAAACTGTGCCTCTCACTCCTCCGAGGGCTGCTCTGGGGAGCTCTCCTGGCAAACTTCTCCCTCCTTCACATCATCTTGAAGTGAATCTAGGACATCTGTGTTTGGAGCACTCTCGACCACCCACTGACACCCAGGCTTCCCTGCCTCAGTGTCCACGCTGGTCACAGCTGGTGTGGCGACGCTCTTCCCTCCCATCACTTCTTGTTCCTCAGGAAGCTGACTCTCCCCGGGGCAAACGGGGTCAGAATGGAAAGTGCAACCTTCTTGCCGCATGGCCTGGCCCTCTGCAGCGCTCCCAGTGGCCTCTTCTTCATGGGCACCCGGTGTGGCAGCCCTCACTGCCAGCTCCTCCTCGCGGGGTTCTGTGGCCTCTGCTGGCTCGGCTGTGAGGCCTGGGCAGCTGGCGTCCTCGATGAGATCTCTGGTGAGCCCGTCACAGGCTGGCTGAGAAGCAGGGCTGCTCACCTCAGGGAGTGTCCCCGGGTCTACCCCGGGGGCCTCAGCGTCTGGAGGAGGAGACTGGGCCTTCCTCTCACTGACTTCACTTTCTTCACAGCTATCCTCCTGGGGGGCAGCTGCCTGCTCGGCCTCTGTGTTGATTTGGGTTTTTTCCTCTTCTTTTTCATTTTCTTGAAGAATAAGTGCCTCCTCCTCTGTGTCTTTTTCAATCACCGCAGCAGACTCCACTGGCTCTTCAGCAGTCACCACCAACAGCTCTCTGAGCTCCTTCAAGGATCCTGAGGCAGACGTGGAGCCTGGCTTTTCACGGGCGGGTTCTTCGTTCTTGGTGGCCCTTCCCAATTCTGAGCGTACACCCGGGGTTTCTTCCGTGTCTTCCTCAGCCATAGGAGTCACAGCAGGGTCATCAGTACTTGAGACAGTTGCCTGCCCCTCCCCACCTAGGGCAGAGCTGGGCTCAAGGAAAGAAGGGCTTTCTTGTTTGGCCAATAAAGTGGGATCCCCCAGCTGCTGCTTTTCCTCTGACTCTTGGAACACTTCGTTACTTGGGGTCTCACTATCTGGAGCTCCAGCCAGAGTGGCAGACACCATCCTGGCAGGGCTGGCCTGGTTTGATCCAATGGCGGGTTTTAGATCTGTTAAGCTGGACACACTTTCACTAGGCAAGGCCATGTTGTCTTCAAATAAATTGTGCTTTTTCAGGATGGCAGCCTCCTGTATCACTGAAAAATAACAGAACACAAAAACTCGATATTAAGACTGCTTGGACAACCAGGGTTTTTAAATTTTAACCAGAAGCCAGACTCCCCATCAGCCTCTTTGGCTATCCAAATTTTCAACTTTAAGATCGGGCTTATATCCACCCCCTTCTAGGTAGCCTTTTCTCATAACAAAAGCCTGAAAACTCTTTCCAGACTCTGAACCTTGATAGGTTCATTCCTTCGTTTACTCAAACAGCAAACATTTGATCTAATATAGGACTGACGCTGAGAAGCCAGAGGTGAATAAAAGATGGCCTTTACCTATAAAGTCTATAACAGTACCATGCATATCACTCAAGCCCCCTGTGACATTTTCTTAGATTCTAGTAGATGAAGTTCAGTTTGTTCACATAGACTGGAACACATTTAGGACAGGGGCAGACCCTTTACTATTCTTTCTCCTCGCACAGTCCTGATGTGTAATAGGTTCTCAGTCCTGACAGTGCAGCTGAAAGAGGTTTATTAGCCTGTGCTGTCCAAAATGAAGATATGTGTGCAGGTACCTCAGCCTCAAAGGCCTTAAGAACCACAAAGACAGTAACACCAAAAACAGCCTCCATTTTTGACAACGGGTGTCTGGCTAAGGACGGCTCTGCAGGACTGTGGTGCTCAACACCACCACATACTGGGCGAAGCCGTTCATATCGGAGTCAACACAGATTCGTGTATGCAGCATAATCTTTCAGCAGCTAGAAGTAGATTTTCCTGTTCTAACAATGTCAATATAGTACGACAGTTTTCTCAGAGAGGACGGTAAGATGTCTGGAGGAAAGAAGTCTTCAGTCACCCAAAGGTCTCCATGGTGGGCTGGCGAGGCCTTGACTTGGCTTCTCTTTGTGCAGATGCCATGATGATTCTATTGCATTCTGTAGCTCTTGGATCCCTATGATTAGTTATGTGATGTGGGGCTTGTGCTTGGCCAGTTGTCCCTATGGAGGCCTTTGGGTGATAGGCAAGACCTCCTCCGTGGAGCCCAGAAAGGTTGCAGGCCCACAGCTTGGTGGTGGCCCTTTTCAGCACATTTTAATCTGTCTTCCTATTCACATTCCAACCCCAGGCAAAGCCAGATTCCACAGCACACTGGGTGCGAATATCCTCACAAGGCCTGCAGGGCATAGTTATACCCCTGTGTCTTTTTATGACTGGCCAAATGGAAGTAAGGAGTTTGCTGAGAGAACAGAGCTCAGGCCCTTCTGTGGAAGACATTTCTGCCTGGCCCTAGGAGGGGTCATGAGCCTGTGCATAAGAGCACAGTTCTGTCTGTGTCTTCATTCTGCCTTCTCAACAAAGGACGACAGCCCTACATGAGACACCTTAAATTTACTCCCTCTAAACTGTAGTTTTCTCAGGTACAAAAGGAGGCTTGACATTCCCACCTCAGAGCCTGCATTGATCCTTTCAGGAAATAGCATCTAAAGGAGTGGCATGGTGTGTACCAAATCATGAACATCCATCCAGTCAAGGTTGGCATCCTTCCTTTTCTTCCCTCTCCTAAATGTCTCCCTGCACACCAATGCTGACTTCCTCTTTTCCTCTCTTACTTCACAGCCTTCCCGAGTTCCATTTCAGGGGTGCTCCCTTCATGGGGAGCCCCTCCAGCACCAGGCAAACTTACCTTTCAGAGTTTCATCAAGGAGAATCTGATATAAAATCTCTTCATAGACATTTTCAACGTGGATCATATTGGTATGATCTGCAAAAATGAACTGCTCATATTTCTGAAGCTCCTGGAGAACAAGAGATAAGAAGATAAAGAAGAAAAGGCATGAGATGCCTGTCCTCAGAGGAGAGGGGGAAAGGACAGTTCCCACTAGTGGTCCCCTCCTCAGTGGGTTAGTGAGGAGGGTGATGTTAGTCCATAGGCCAGAGATGCTCAAATACGGCAGTTCAGCTTGACTGTGTCAAGAACCACATATGACCTTGATATATCCATAGCTGGCCATGATAGGGTGACATTCAGCCCTGGGTGGTTCCGCTTCCTTTCCTTATACATTTGAAGGGAAAAGACAGAAGAAACTTTGGCTATCTCAAGGCCTTGTCAGTAGGTCTGACTCCTTTTAACCAAAGTGTGTCCTTTTTTAAAAAATATAATGCCAAAGTACTTTACCAAGGTGTGAGTTATATACAGGGAAACACACAGGTTTTGAAGGAACAGCTCAGTGATGTTAAATATACAATGATACCCGTGTAACTATAACCCAGATCAGGATGAAGGACACTTATATAACCCCAAGGCTCCCAAAACTCCCTTCTAGTCCACAGCTCTCTAAGAGATAAGCAGCGATCTGACAGCTGCCATGGTAGATAAGCTTTTGCTATTCAAGAACATCAGAAAAACCAATCATACTCTTGTGTTTACTTTTCAGATTTTTCCCTAGTTGCCATCTATATCAGTAGCTCTCTTCTTTTTATTGATAAACAGCATTTGCTATATGGAAAAATTAAAATTGTTTACCCATACTCCTTTGGCACTGAGATTTTTCCACTTTTTTACCATTATGAACATATTTGTTATGAACGTGTTTATAAAAGTTATTTTTTTGGACTTAAGGACTTATTTATCAAGGGTATATTTCTAAAAGTGAGGTTGCTGAGTCACGAGATTGATGTATGTTTAATCTTATTAGAATGTGGTCCTTTTTCTGATTAGAGAGTTTCTAGTCAAATATTCTTATCTAGCATTCTCTTTTCCCTCTGACAATGATGCTTCTTTGTTTCTTCTAAGATAGCCAGGCATGCTGCAAAATCCTTTAGCTTTCCCTGCTTCTAAGGATTTCCAAATGGTTTGCTTGTTATCCACATAATAGGGCAGGGATCAAAATGTATCAAATCATATCCCTAAGATTAACCCAGTCATCCTTGCACCTAATGGCCCTGGGAGATCCAGAAACTTAGCAGTGGGACTTGATTCTTTTCGCTGAATAGACAGATTGTCTGGCACGTGATCAGAAGCTGCCACCCTCAGATAATTTCAGTGCTAAGACGTGGAGGCGCTGAGGCCCAGGGTTGTACTGCATTACCAGCAAATTCCATTTATAAATAGGTTTCATTTATACCCACGGAGAGGAAAGTCAAAGGGCGTGAACCTCAGTGACCCCGGAGGGTTTATGAGACGGCACTGATGCCCGGACACAGAAGAAACACAGCCCAGGAGACGACACTACCAGGACTCTCTCCATCGGACCCTGCATGAGCCACGTCGCTGCTCTGAACCTCTTTTTCCCTGTTAAATGAGGGGCACAGGATCATGCCTGGAACCTCCTTTCTTCTTCCCTTCTTGGTCCTTATTTCCTTGACTGCCATTCATCTCTCAAGACTGGGTGAAAGCCTGGCTCTAGAAAGTTCTGTGCTTGTCTTCTGCCTCTACGCTGCAAGCTCCAGAACAAAAATGGCTGGCCCAGTGTCTGGATCATACAGATACATTTTAGTACACGTTTTAGTTTATTTTAATGCATGTTTTTGGAATAGAAGCCCTTTAAGTTTTTAACCAGCTAAAGAATTCTTCAGGAAGATATAATTAAGGAATGTTTATATTGTTATGTGCCCCGCCTTACAAAATAGGTCTTCTATGTTGAACTGATTGAACTGTGTCATATGTTTAATTCTCTGGATCAGTTAAATTGAGATCCTGAGGGTGGATCTTGAGACTTCAATCAGCCTCCTGGTTCTACTCAGGACCACACCGCCCTGCAGACTACAACACACTTTCACAATCACGGCCCCGCATGCCTGATGCCATTAGTTTCAGTAAGTAAACACTATTGGATATGACAGGACAAGTATCTTTCTGTAGTCGTGTTACTTAAAATCTTTCTATATGTAAGGTCCAGTGTCAGAGGAGTGGATGCACGAGTTATACTACAGTGGGGAACTCCCAGTCTCCTTGGGTGTTCTATGTCACCATTAGCTTGGCTGCAGTTCAGATCCTGGTCCGGGGCTTGGCAGATCCTAGCAGCTTCTTATTTTTGCAAGTAAAGTTTATTGAACGATTTTGTCTGTGTATCATATCTGGCTACTTCTGTGCTGTAACAGTGGAGTTGAGTGATTGCAAACAGAAATAATATGGACCATAAAGCTTAAAATATTTACTCTCTGACCACTTCCAAAAGAGTTCTGCAATCCCTCCCTGGTCTAATCTGCCTGCTGTTTGCAAGTACAGCACAGCAAAAGAACAACTCTTTGGAGCAACCCATCCTCTTACTGGTTTGCATGTGGATGCCAATGCCTTCTGCATAGTGGGAAGCGTGATTTGAACCAGTGCCTCCTGAAAAATCTTCTTCCGGATGGTGCTGCTGTCATAATCATATTGCTGTCAACAGAGAAACATGTGCTAAGTAGAGGCATCACAATGTGTCAACATCCACTTAAATAAAAAACCCAGCCACCCATGTCATCTCCCCTTTCCTTCTAATTTCTGAAGTCTTGCATTTTCAAGGTTTCAGAGATCTATCTAAATCCTGCTCACTCCAGGCATAGGATGTGACACAATGACTCACCTCACTCTCCCCTCCTGCAGATATGGAAACTGAGGCAAGATCAAAATAGAGAAGTGGTATTTGGGTTAGAAAGAAGTTGGAGATAGAACCTGGGAGTGAATTTGTTTTTCATCACTCTTTCTGGGCAGGCCCATGGAGCCGCAATCACCTATCACTCATAGTCTTCTAAGAAGAGGCAATGAGTTGTAATGATTTCTGCAAGGTAAGAAAGCGCTGGCTCTGAAATACATTAACACTGTGACCTATTAACCTAACCGAAGAAATTTAACGTCTAGAACAGGAAAAATGATGGTTTGCTCTGATGTGCATTAAACATCCGAAACTGGAGGCCAGAGTTTGAATTTAGATGTCACTTCAAGGGGTTCACAGACAGGCATATGGAGAACAATGTCAGGCATGTAAGCAGAACAATCGGGCCAAATGAATGGTTGGTTAGTCATGTGAGGTCATTTATACTGGAGATACTAACTTAAGGCAAAATTATAGCTCTGTTCAATCTATCAAATGGTATTATGTGGGTGGGAAAAGACTATGAACAAAGAATGAAAGTGGAATTACCAGTGGCAAGAACATTGGTCTAAAGTAAGAGAGCATGTTCTTTCCAAAAATCCACCCTCCCTTTTTCAGGACTGGGGATCAAACTCAGGACCTTGCACTGGCGAAGCAGATGTGGCACCACCGAGTTAAATGCCCGGCCTGAAGAGAGCATGTTCTTACAGTCAAATGTCCAGAAAAGGAATGGGCTATTCTCAGAGGTAGAAAGTATCCTGGCACTGGAAGTGTCCAACCATTGGTCAAACCACCTCTGGCAGGAACCTGCTTAACACTGGAGATGAAGTTGAAATAGAGGCGCCTGAAGTCCTTCTCAAACTCAAGGTCCTGAGATGTGGGCACCTTTCTACTTGCTTTCTTCCTCTCTTTCTGTCTGCTGAAATACTTGGCAGTGGTACTGTCTTTTATTTCAGCTCAATTATTCATCCGTTACTATTTGTGTGACCATAATTGTTGCTTTTTGTCTGAATAATCTGCTTACCAGAGTTCTGCCTGGGTGTGAAGCATCAAGATTAGGTATGAAATTCAGGGACAACCCTGGGCTGTGTGGGACTTTGATCATCTGTTCCAAACCATTATTTAGGACAGGCAGGCGGCAATAAAAATATTAGTAAACTATATGAAAGGAGAGTTTTAACTCTAAGATCATCATGACTAGCCTGTTGAGCTTGAGTAAACTTTCAGAGGATCCATTTCCTCATCGGGATACATTCTAACCATCTCACAAATTCTTGTGAAGATCAACTGAAACCTGGTAGATTTAAACATTTTTTACTTTACCAGTATGTACAAGATCCTAGTGAATTAAGAGCAATTTCATATGACAGTTATCTTTTCTTTGGGTTATTTCCTTGGCCTTGATGTTTTGATTTTTTTCTTAAAATGTTGGCCAGTTTAGAGTTATTATACTGCAAACTCTTTGAAGAGAGAGGCTGTGCCTTGTCTATTTTTATAGGTCAAGCCATACCTGTCATAAAGCTTGGAATGCACAGCCAACAAACGTTTGTCAAGCCCAATTGTTATAAAAGTAAACTGGGCCCTGTCCTTCCAAATGTGGGCAACAGTGCTAAGAATCTGTGGTCCCTAAAGTAGCCACTAGATGGCGGAACAGGTATGAGAGTCAGGCTGGGGAAACCGCTGCAAAATGAAGTCATTTGGAGAGGAGGACAAGTAAAAGGGAGAGTAGGGTATTCTGCATTTATCAAAACAAACGGGGGTCACATTCTTATTCGTTCTGCCCACAGATGAGCCAGCAGTTTTACCTTCAGGACTCGGAGCTTCACCTTCTCAATGGCAGCAGCAGTTCTGGAGGCCTCTCCCTGGAGATGCGGGAAGAGCAACTGCTCGAAAGTGAACACTGCATTCTCCATTAGCTGGAAATCGAAACACAGAAACCCCACCATCAGCCTGAGGTCTGCCTGGCCTCGCTCAGATGAGCCATCGAGAGTCCTCAGGCTCTGCTCTGGGGGTGACATAGGCCCTCGTCCCACCACCTGGATTAGGAGATGAACAGTCCTGTGGTCACCACGGGATCACTAAGAGGCCAGGAAGCCCCAGCCACACATGCATGTGTGTGCAGTCCCTTTCTCATCTCCTTCCCTCATCCACAAATGGGAAACCCAGGACCCTGGGATGGAAAATACATCATCTCCCGAGGTCATTCCCCACCTCCGTCCTCTGACGCTGCAGCCACAGATTAAAGAGATGAGGTGGGAGCTTCTCCGACCGTTTTGGCAGCACGTCCACATTTAGGGGGACATAAACCTCAGCAGCATCCCCAGCCCAGGTTCCTTCCACCCCACCACCTAATATCCCTTTTTTCTCTGCAAGGCTGGGAAGCCAGGCAGGTCAGGAATTGGTGGTAGTGGCTGCCCATGGGCCAGAAAACGGAGTGGGTTCAGAGATCTTATGGTCTGCAGTTGTGCCTGTCATCTCTTTCTCCAGGGCCCACTATTACCACAGGAACTGCTGTTAAATTTCTTTTTTTTCTTCTTCTTTTTTTTTCATACCAGGGATCAAACTCAGGATCTTGTGCTTATGAGGCAGGTACAGTGCCACTGAGCTAAATCCCTAGCCCTTAAACTTCTGCCCAATTTGTTCCTTGTTACCTTTAGTTTCTTGTAACTCAGAGGTTGGACAATAAGATACATTGCTTAGTCCTGCTATAAGTTTTAAAGAAAAAAATTTCTTTTCTTTCCAAGCCGGTGGCCAATCTCAAAGCATTCAACACAAAGCTTTATCACAGCGCTTACAACACTGTCATGAATTAATCTAAGAATCTATCTCAGTATTGATCCCTGGGATGGGATCGGACAGTGTCAGCCCACAGTGAGCTCCCTCTAGAGCATCTATGATCGCAACAGATTGAGTCTGACCATACCCTTGCTCTATCGATGAAACACTCTAACATGGAAAGAGTCTGTGGTATTCATTATTGTTCCTGGAGAAAAAATTCCTTGGGAGACGGGGAGAAGCAACCTATCAAGAGAACCCAAATTCAAATAGGAAGCTGGGACTGACTGGTTGGTTGATTCTTAACTAGGTTAGGGAATTACAGTAATTTAAGCCAGTGGTTCTCAATCCTGGCTGCATATTAGAAGTAACAGGAATGGGGGTGGGGTTTCAAAAGCGGAACCAGAGATCATTGTGTTAAGTAAAATATGCCAGCTTCAGAAAGAATATGCCACATATTTTCTCTCAAATGTGGAATCTTTAAAAGGGGAGAGGGGTGGCATGAAAATACAAGAACTATTTGGGAAGAAGGGAACAATGCAGAGGTGGAGGACAAGAGCAGTGACGGGGAAAATTATCTGACTATGTTTATACATATACAAATCTGCTAATGTGAAACCCATTCGTGTGTGCATACCAATATGCACTCATAACAAAATACAAATATACACACACATTCACACATCTATTCAGAATCACTGGGGATGAGCCGTAAGCATCAGTATGCCAGGTGATTCTAATGTGCAGCCAAGGTTAAAAAGCACTGATGCGTCAACTAAATAATTATCAATCAGTGCTACTTTATCTCGCCAACAGACATCTCTTCTCTGTGATGTTCATCAACACGGAAGAAAGACAAAAGCAGCTAGAAGGGCAGAGAAGTGCGCCTCACTTCCCGGAAGCACCCAGACCCTGCCTCCTCTGCCAGGAGCGGGCGCCCCCTCTCTCGCCCTCATGCAGCGTGCGCGCCCTGCCGCTCCCACCTCCTGCATGTAGTTCTGTGTCCTCTGGACCACCAGGTCAACGTGTGGGAATCTGAAGCGGCTCTTGAGATCCTGCAGGCCCTCTTGAAGCAGGTTGACCTTAGTGTAGCAAGGTTCCATCTTCACAGAATCTAGTGGCAGATTCATAAGCTGGTCCAGATGCTGCAATGTGATGAAGGGAAACAATAAATACTTCTAGATGGAGAAGTCATATTCCTATATATGACACGACACGTAAGTTCGAAATAGTCACACATATGTCATCAGAATCACTACTTGGAGCACCACACCCATGACATCTGCAGTTGGGTTATTTTTCTCCTTCAGTGGGTCACCAAGACAACTCCATTACGGTGACAGAAACCCATGGAAGGACCAGCCAAGTGACAGGGAGACACGGGGTGCACTAGCTGTGGGGGCTGTCCAGTCTTCTAACGTTCTCAGTGGACTCAGGGCTCCTGCTTCAGAGCTCACAAACTAGGTACAGAACTGCCGTTGGCCCATGAGACTCCAAAGCTCCTTTAAAGAGTGACATTCGAGTCCCGGATTTGGCTCCGTGGTTCCACCGCCTGCCTCGCAAGTGCAAGGGCCTGAGTTCGATCCCCAGTACCAAAAACACAAACAAACAAACAAACAAACAAAAAAGAGTGACATCCACTCAACCAAAGTCAAGGAGGTTAGGACGCTGCCTGGACTCCCAGACTCTGGGCGAAAAGCCAGGGCTCCCCACTCTTCTGAGGTTGTCAGTGAGCACAAGGTTTCCATCTGCTGTTAGAGGCTGCTTCGCGGTGCTAGTGGATGGGGGGGCAGAGGTCTTAAAAGTCAGGGTCCCTTCCCACTCAGTTTACACCATTGATAACTTAACCAACAAGGCCGCGGATTAATGATCATCTGCTGAAGTCACGTGCTGGCAATAGACTCCAACACAACGTTGGATGTTATTGCAACAGAAGGCATTCTATCCTCTCGCTTTCTTCATTTTTGGTACCAGGGATCAAACTCAGGACCTTGTGCTTAGGAGGCAGGCGCGGTGCCACTGAAGTAAACCCCCAGCCCAGGCATTCTATTTTCTAAGTTTATTTTATACTATTTTTCAAACACTGACTATGGGGGTTAAAATGAAAAGGAGAGTGGGTAGGGAAGAAGAAGACAGAAAGTTCCTGAGAAGAGGCTCTGGGGGAACCAGGAGAAAGGCCAAGTGAGTGAGAGTAAGAGAGGGTGCACTGACAGACGGAAATGTTAAAAGGGCCCGTTCTAGAAAGTACTTTAAGAGAGAAAATCATTCCCTTTAAGAAGTGAATTATGGAAGGGTCCAAAGAAATAAAATTAATGATCAAAAGCACACTCCAGAATTTCCCCGTTGTCAAACGATAAGGAATGTGTCATTTAAAAATGGCAATTAAGTAGGCAGGATGGGAAAAATAGATTTGCCACTTTGCTCCTTTCAGGTGGCCAAAGGGTGACACTTATCATTAATGTTGGTATGGAGGAGAAAGTCTCAGCCACACACAATTAGTGGGATGTAAAATGTAAATCCTATTCCTGAAATGCAATGGATACATTTGCAAACATGAAAAATAATACCTCTCAACATAAGAATCTATCCTACAGAAATAAAAGCATCGGGACATAAGAATGTATGGTTGAACGCGTCATGATGCTTCCATGATGCTCTGTGGCCACCACAAAGAATGATTTAGACCTAGAACTGATACCTTGGAAATAGTATCATGAGGTATTTTTTTAAAAAACTGATAAGCAGAATAATATATAAAATACAACCTGTTTTTCTCAATGCAAACAATGTAAGAAAATAGCCTATAAGTGTGTGTGTTTGTGTGCATGTGTGTGTATTACTATATATACAATGAAGAAAGCACAAAATGATATGAAGGTTGAAGATGTTGGTGATTCCAGGGGAGGTAGTTGGTGTTAAGAAAGTAGGGGGAGTAAAGGCAAGCTAAGAACAAATAAGCTGCAGTAGAAAACCTCAAAGCATTTATGAAATGATCTTGATTTTGTATAATTATACATGTATATATAGCCATTAAGAAATAAGAAAGGCATAGGACAGAAGGGCAACTATAGTCTACAACTATTATATTTTTATAAAGAACTAGAAGAGCTTAAAGATTTATCATAAAGAAATGGTGTTTAAGGAATTTAAAATGTTAATTAGTTCAATTTGGTCATTACCCACTGCATTACCACATGATGTACCAAAATTATATGCAATTATTAGGTATTGATTAAAAGAAAAAAATTCATTTTTAGGGCTATCAGGAAGGAAGGAATGGGGAGGGGAGGAGGGAAAGAAGGAAAAGAGCCAAGTATCTGGTGCTACGACGTCCTGGCTTCGCGGGGATGTTCGTTTTGATGTGTCAGGTATAAAGGCCAAGCTGCCGAGCTGGAACATCTTGTGCCAGTGATTCTCAATCTTGAGGGTGCCATACCTTTTAGAGGTCTGGTTAAAACATACTCCAAGGCCCCACCCCCAGAATGTCTGATTCACTGGATTTGAGTTGGGGTGGACTAGAACTAAAGGGTATCAGCAATGGTGATTAATTTTGCACACACACACACACACACACACACACATATGTATGTCATACTGAGTATATTGCTTTACTTGTACAAACATATTATTTTTGAAATTTGAAAACCATTAATAAAGAAAATTAAGTGGATGGATGGATAAGTAAATGAGGTAGTCGAATGGATGGAACAGCAGAGAGAAGGAAGGAAGGTAGGAGAAAAGGGAAAAGGGACAGAGGGAAGAGGCAGGGAGAAAAGAAAGGAGGAAGGGAGCAGGGAAGGAAGGAGGGAGGGAGTCATCCAGGCCAAGCACCATGGAAAAGAGCCCTAAAAGCGCATTTGCTTCAGCTCCTCAGCTTTGAATCCCACCTCCTTTAGCTGAATGCTGTCCTTGGTGGTCTGAAAGCTCTGGCTGAGTTCATCCACTTCTTTTTCAAAAAGTGAGCGTACTTCACTGAACCCTGAGCTCATGGGCCCCATGAGCTCCTCCAGAATGGATGCCAGGAATGGTTGCACACTTTCCCCACAGGTTTTCTCCGCTGGCTGGGCCACCATTGCTGAGATAAGAAAACAAAGTGATACAGAGCAAATCTGCACTCAGAAGGCACCCAAGCCAGGCCAGGCTGAACAGTGGAGCCCAGAGCTATTCGGCAGCTAAGATACCGATCCGCTATTCACTATTCACCATCATCCTATACATACAATCTGTCCTCTAGAAACACAACATATTAAGTTATAATTCCTCTAAGAGCTAACTGGTCATTATAAAGCCATCTCCCCTAAGAGACTTAAAAATACAAGTAAATCTTTTCTCGGGAGGAAAATGAAGCCAAATTCCATGCAGTTTGTCACCTCATCTGCAGTTAGAACAAAACAAAACAAAACAAAACAAAATTTTTTCTCATGAGGATGACAGGCCTAGTGACAAAAATGTGCAGCGCACAGAAAATTTACAAAGAGAGATGAAAAAATGCCCACATAATTTCCATTCTCCAGAGCAAAGCACCACCCTTTAACTTGCTGAAAAGTGTAGTAAAGGCCCTGCCCGGTGCATGGGAGGATGGGAAATCTGCTTGGTTTTCAGAGCAGGAGGATTCTCCTAACTAGCCAGGCTCTGAAGCACTGCTGCAGTGGAGGAGGCTGGGCTGCTCTGTGGACGAGACGGCAGCTGTGTCACGGTGTCACAGAACGGAGGAGAGATGCACAAACTCACTGGGCATCCAAGCCCTCTGCTTCACAGATGGGAGCGAAAGAAGGCTGGGGGTGCTAGGTAACTTGGCCAAAGTCATACCCTAGTTTTCAAAAGCAGGACAAGTGTATTTTTAAGTTCATACTAGAAAATAACTTGCTTACAGCCAGATGGATGGCCACATTCTTAGTTTGGTTTGCAGAAATATGTCAGAGTTGTGGAGAATCAGATTACTGCTTCTGAATCTGAGAATCTGAATCTGAGATAACCAACACCATATGTATTCAGAGTGGTAAATATTAAACAGGTCATAGAATCATTTTTAAAGTCCTTTTAATAAAATATAAAGCAATCTATGACTCTTGTAAAAATGACTTGCTTGATAGCAAAATTGTTTGCTAGAATACAGTAATCATTAATTAATTTTGCTACAGCAACCACTTGAAAAGCATCTAATTAAAATTTCAGAGTAATCCTGAACACCGGCAATGTACATGTGACTGAGCAGAGCTGGCCAACCTCACTTGCAGAGTGGGCAAAGATCAGCGTGGAGGACTTGGCAGGTGAGGGCAGGTTCCTCCCTGCCTGCTCTCCCTGCCTCTGTTCACACAGGGTGCTCCTGCCCCTCTCTGCACCTTCATTCAGGTTCTTCTACCCACGACTTTTTCCTCCCCCTCTGCTTGGAAATTCTCTGCTCAAGTCCTCGGCCTCCTTCCAGTATCACCCATCGGGACAGCCTGACGTCCTGGAACCGGCACCAGCTTCCTGCGCTGCAGTCTGCAGCTGTTTCCTTACGGCCTGAATGGGTCTCATGTCCCACACGTGTACTCCCTGCTGCTCTCAAGCGCACAGAGAGGCTGCAGTGATGAATGCAGGGTTGTGGCACATTCACCCGGGAGCCTTCCTGAAGTGATGGCAGCTGTCAGTGAGAAACAGATGCGGCCTCCAAAGCTGGGGCTGACGGGACTGAACCTGACTCTGTCACACGCAAGTTTTGGAACCTCAGGTAGTTCCTAAATGTCTGCCTGTTTTCTTAGCTGCAAAATGGAGACCGTAAGAGTAATTACTTCTTGGGGTTACAGTAAGAGCTCACTATTTTCAAAGCGCTCAGAATGAATGTGGTGCTCCGGAGGCAACTCGGGAACCCTGAGAGCTCCTACTGCACCTGTTGCAGTATCTTTCTCTCTAATCACCCAGAACTAAAGTAGTACTCTCACTGGCGGTGCTCATCCAGGTTTCTGAAGCTCAACGGAACCTGTGTCCTGAATGGGAACCACTGTGCCCTCTGTTCCCATCTTGCGTATTGCGTTTAGCACTGTGCGCCCCTGTCTCAGTGTCTGTGGCCCTGCTTCCTATCCCCGTCTACTTGCAAAATAATGTTGTCTTCTTTGAACGCTAGCAGTCCTTATACTCCACAGAAGCAGAATAAATGCTTACTGAATGAATTGTAGAGCAGCACGAATAGAGCTTAATGGCTTTGCTTCTGAGAGTCATGTGGGAGGAAATGAAGCGATCACTACTTAAAACCCCCAAAGTTTTTTTGAAATCCAAAGCAATCTGTCAATGCACCCTTTAGTTCCCTTCCTTATTTTAAAGGTAGTGAACCACAGACTTGGTCAAAATGTGTTGCTGAAGTCCCATGTTGAAAAGACTTGATCATTACTTCCTCTCAAGCTCTCTTTCAGGAAGTCACTAATAGTCCAGGGCAGAATCTTTTTCCATTGCCTGAGGATACCTGAGAGGCACAGAGAGTTCAGCAAGAGAGAATGGCTTAACTCCAGCCACAAGAATGGACACAGTTAGGCCCTGCTGGGCCCCGGAGAACAGAATTTTGGCACAGGAGATGGTGTTGGGGGGTTTAAATTCTACAGAGTGTTTTGACACAGAGTCGATTCTAGATCAGTTGTTCATGGAGTAATGAGACCTGGATAACAAGAAACAGAAAGCACTCTGAAGTTAATCTATGTCTGGCTTTGGAAGGCATCACGTGAATGGACACAGACATCACACCCTTGCGGTGGCTATTCCTCTAATCTCCTCTCCAGAGGACCTGTTTTAAGAGCCCTGGAGCAAGATGGGTTGGACTATGAAAGGATCTGAACTGCAGAAATTAATTCACCAAGCTGACAATCTCCTGTTGGACTGTAAGCTTTAGGAGTGCAGGAGTAGATCTTAAGTGCACAGCTAACACTCCCTCGCCCTGCTTAGAAGACACTTAGTAAACATTATTAATTGAGTGAATGAGTGATAAACTTTGCACGACTGTCTAAAAAGATAGTTAATAAACAACCACAGATGAGCCTTCATGCTCATCCTCTGAAGTGACATTAGGTTTAGCGCACTTTTTGGGTTATACATAGAAATAACCTACATAGAAAGGGAAACCATAGCACCTACACTACAGGATCCTTTGAAGCCACCCAAGGCCTCCTGAGTGGGAATAGGCGAACTTGTTTTGCTTTGTTTTTTGGTCAAGAGCCAGATAGTAAATATATTTTTACTTTGCAATCGGTAAGTTTGAGACTGAGGTTCCAAGCTCTCTATTCTGAAGTCATAGCACAAAAGCAGCTAGAGACAATATGTAAATCAATGAGCGTGGCTGTGTTCTAGCAAAACATTATTTACATAATCAAGTGGTAGATTTGGCCTGAAGGCCACAATCGTCCAACTACACTCTTGCATTTAAACTATGCACATCCAACTGTATCTTTCATATACTTTAAGTCATCTCTAGATTACTTATAATACCTAATGCAATGTCAATGCTATGTACAGTGGTTGCTATACTGAATTATTTAGGGAATCATGATAAGAAATATGAATGTGTTCAGTACAATGTTTTACATATTCTCAATCTGCACTTTGTTGAACCCACAAATACAGAGAACCAGCTATATTCTAACTATGTATGGATCCTTAAATATACAGCCTCTTTAGTTAGTAGGAGCATGGATTATCTCCACTGACCTTTGATCTTTCCAATTAAAAAGTTCTTTGAATTCACAATTTGATCCATGTCTGAACGAATTGTTCCTTCCAGGCCCTTTGTCAGGGTTCTGCATTCCTCCTTCAACGCACTTAATCCTTCTGAAACTTGTTGCTGAACCAGGTTGTAGGCTTCTTCCAGGAGCTGCAACAGGAGTCACATGTGAATCGTGGCTGGCTGTGTGCAAGTCCCTGACATAGTCGGGGGGAGGGAGAGGGGGGACTCATCTGGGACTCCCAGAACATAAACAAAACGGCACACACACTCAAGTTTTCCTTTCAAAGTTCACATCTGTTTGGATTAGTTCTTATGTAAGTGAGATTAAACAGGCTTGATACAGACATTTCTCCACCCGGAGAAGGAATTATTTAACAGGAACAACAACAAATGCTCTAAAAACCATAGGGCAGGGAATGTTCACTTGGAGAAGCACACAGCTGGAAAGCAGCATCACCACTTACACCAAACCAGGCCCTCTTTCTGTCATTTTTCTTGCCCTTCATTTTAGGCAGCAGGTCTGTCTGAAGGGTTGGCAGGAGCTCCTCCATCACCAAGTTACTCAGGACCTGGAGAGAGGAAGAGAACCCCAAAGTCTGGTCAGCTGACAGTGGCTAAGTATAAGGATCAGGCCAACCAGAGATCTCATGATGGCCATCTCTTTCTTGAACTCTATTCATAATTTTGTGTGTGTACATGTTCATGCTTGAGTGTGTGTGTGTGTGTGTGTGTGTGCGTGTGTTGGAAATTAAACCCAGGGTCTCTGCCACCAAGCTACACCCAAGCCTAATTTGGTTATTTAACTCTGGTCCAGAGGCCACAGAAATCTCATCTAAGATAATCGTAGAGGGTAAACATTCTTAAACAGTCACAAAGAACAGAAACACCTGCTGACATTTTCCCACTGCTATCTCCCCAATGGAAAGAACAAATCTTTCAAATTCAAACTTTTCATACTCAAACTAGAAGGACCTAGTGCATTTAGGATACAAGGGGAGGTTTCAATAATGAATAAGGGTTTTGTTAGCAAACTGTGCAGAGTCGAGCTTGGTTTTGATGCCTTCGGTCCCAGTCAGTATTCCCTGGAACTATCATTGTTCCTCAAACCCCATCACTGACTAAGTGTATTTGTTCTCACTGAACACAATTTCCATCCTCAATAGCAGAGGTAGCCAACCTATGGCACATATGCTGCAGTATGCTGTTTTATACCACAGAAAGCTCTAAAAGATTCACCATCGCTACTCTAGAGTGTTTAGAAAAGCAAGGAAAAAGCAGTGTATAGAAGAGAAGGTGAAGACAACCTGCCTCCTGTCCAGCATTTACATCCCACATTGTCACCACTATGGCCAGGAGAAAGTCTGAAGGGGATGCTAAAGGAGGTAGACTTGATAGAGTCAAGCTGAAAGACGAGCCTTAGAGATCTGCAAGGTTGTCAGTTAAATCTGTTGCTCCAGCACCACAGCCCAAGCCTAAAAAGGACCCAGATGAGAAGAGAGACAAGGCGCCCAAACAGCAAAAATGAGTAGCTAATGCTAGCAAGAGAAGGAGCAAGTGACAGAAAACGGAGATGCCAAAAAAGGCCAGGGATTTAGCTCAGTGGTTCTGCCACCTGCCTCACAAGCACAAGGACCCAAGTTCAATCCCTGGTACAAAAAAAAAAAAGGACCAGACACAGAAAACTGAAGGTGCTGAAGAGCCCAAGTGAATATGTGCAATTTTAATGGCTGCACACTTCTGCGGACTGAAATATTAATTTTTATTGTTTTATAAAACAGAATGTTGTTTTGCTTTTTTTTAAAGCTATGCTGTTAGCACACAAAGTATTGTTTTAGAGTAGAGGCACATATTTCACTGATACACATCTCCAAAGCTGGATGGCTCTGGAAGAAAACACCTTTTTCTTCTAGTTTTGAAGTATCATTTCTCAGCCCCCAGCAGGAGGGATTCCCTGTCGATGACTCACACAGTCGCCTTGGCACAAACATTGTGTGGTGTGGAAAATCTAAAATTAGTTTGCATTCTCTTCTCCCTCTGTTCCTTCAGCATAGAGTTAACTTCCTTAAGCCCAGAGACCTGTTGGATCTTGTCCCCACAACACTAGTTACCAATATGTCGGGCAATCTGGACTTCCCAGGGATATGATTCAGATGACATTCCTCAAAAGAGCAGTGGCTCCTTTCCTGGACAGTGGGTCTTCAGATGGATAATTCTGCCACTTTTATTTCCTGAAAGCCAGGGTTGGCTCGTGAAAAGCTGTTAAACTTGTTCAAGGTGAAACGTTAACCTTTCCCTCTCTCTAAGTGCTCCCTGTTCACAGCGTCAAGTGAAGACTTCACTAAGTTTTATAGTGGCTTTCTGATTTTTTGCAGTCTACTGAGGAAAGGAGTTTAAAAGTTATTGGATATTGATAACTGTCGGTCCATGTTCTGCCGGAAATATTATGACTGTTTATGAAAACTACCTTTAATAAATCTAAATACATCGTTTCTTGGCCTTTTGGCTAAGATCAAGTGTAATAAATCTAGATACAGCTTTTTTTGTAATGAAGGAAAAAGAAAGAAATATTTTGGAACACTTGGATATTTGCAAGTTAAACAGAATATTAGGGTCTGTCTAAACTTTGCAAGGTGTTTTTTAAAAAAAATCAAATATCAATTTTGCTTGGGTCAATGACTTTTAAATCTGAGCATTGTTCTACAAATCCATTCATTTTTTTTATGAGTCCATTCATTTATGAGAACTGGCCTTTCCATCTTCCCTGCTGGCCCCTGAGTCAGAACAGCTCAGATTTTGGCAGAAGGCTGTGGATTAAGATTTACAAAAGGACAAGATGGGGAGGGGAGGAGGAGGTGAAGAGAAGGCAGGGGTAAGGGGAAAAAATGAGAATCAAGACTTGTCATGTAGAGGTACAAGATCCCAACAATAAATGTAACTGTACTGTATCCCTAAAATGTACCAATAAACTCAATTAAAGCTGGGGAAAAAAAAGATTTACAAAAGGACAAAAGCAGTGTTGGGACTGGAAGCAGCCAGGAAAGTGGAGAATCACTTAAGACAACTGTTTATGAAATTGAAATAATATTTATTTTAAATAATCGACTTCCTTCTCACTTTTCAAAAAAATTCAAATTATACTTTGGGAATTAAGGAAGACTATTCCTGGGGTCACTGGCCAGCCTCATGGTAGCAGAAATGCTCATGAGCTCACTTGACTTTGCTCTGATTCTTGTGGCGGGGTGAAATGCGTTAGCTGATCTGAACAGGGCGAACAAGCTGCCCAGTCCCACTGTGTCTCTGGGTTCCTGAGAGAGACAGTCGCTCAGCTTGGTGCAGCAAGTGGGGCTCTGTTACCTGCGTTGTGGGTCTGCCTAGTGTGGTGAAGTTTATAATGGGAACAGGATTTCTGTCTGCCCTGATAATCATTGATGGGGATGTGCTTACCTATCTCAGACATTTCTGATGTATTTAGGAGAAAGAACATATGCAAACTCTATGGAAATCTGACCGACAACTAGATTCAGTAAGCAATTAGCTATCCATGGGCCCCATCCTGGTCAGGGGGGCGTAAACTCTTGTTTGGAACACTAACGTCCAAGACGGGCCCACATGGAGCATGAAGAGAAGGAGCTAAGAAGCACAGAGACTAAAGCCAGAACTTATGATCAATGGGCGCTACCATCTTGCTTGAAAAGTATTAAACTCAAGAATCATAATCATTGCCCCAATTCATCCTTTTGCAGAGATTGGTTTGAATTACAGCATGAGTGTGAACAGATTTAAAAAGATACAAATGCTATGTACAAAAAAAATTTTTTTCCATTTGGGTGGGCTTATTACAGTTTTCTTTTAGTCTTTCCCAATGCAATGCTCCAAGAAATTTGGCTCTATTTTACAACTTAGGGGGTTGAAAGAAAATACGTCTGGGAAAAAAGCGCGGATAAGAATGTGTTACAAGCGTGGCAAGTGGGGCAGGGCTTACAAATGGGACGCAGAGCCTATGGGAGCTAAAGCCCATCTGTGCTTCATCCCAGCACCATCCTTCTCTTCCTCAAAGCTTATAGCCTTTCCCTACCCTGACCTCATGCTGCCCCTCACCTGCCCAGGGCCTACTCTGAATTTCCCCACCTTGCCCAGTTCTCCAATAGCAGCGTCCTAAGCCCTTGGGCTTTTCTAGGTACAGTGGCTAATCCAATAAATAAGTCATAATGATGAAGGGATCCTCTGTCTCCTTCCCCACCAAATGGGATCCAGTGAGTTTCACCATAAGAAACAAAAAGTATAATTTTGCTTTTTTCTTTTTTAATGAGGGAGGATGTTGGACAAATTTAATTGCTGGGCCTGTGGAGATTTAAATTTTTCACCACACATACAGGAAATCAAACATCCCATCAGATTGATCAAAGCCAACAAACCAAGGCTCATTCATTGAAGACCACACCACAGTGCTTTCTCTTAGGTGCTGGAGCTGCAGGGAAGGTGGGAGGTCCAGAGAGACTGCCCACTTCCTGAGGTAGGCCCCAGGTCCGAGCAGATATTAACCCCAGGCGCCTGAGGGTGTTAACTGAAGCATTGTTGGTGAATCTATTCAGAGGGTTGCAACTCAAGATGGTTCAACAGAAGGCAGTTCTGGTAGGAATGGACAAGACTTACAATGTGTATACTTTCCTTGTCTTGAAACTGCTAAGTTCTGTGGGAATTATGAGCTCTTGTCTCAACCATCTGCCCAAGTTAAAAGCGAATAATAAACATACCAAATAGCTGTAGAAACTTTAAAACTTGCAGAGTGCTTTCCCACATGATCTCATTTGATACATTTATATAGACAAGTAGAAAATATGTTGATGTTTTTATTGATATAGAAATATTTTCACCTGATAGTTTGTCAGGAGAAGTATTCTTTTTTTTTTTGTACCAGGGATCGAATTCGGGACCTTGTGCTTGTGAGGCAGACAGTGGAACCACTGAGCTAAATCCCAGGCCCCCAAAGTATTCTGAAATACTGCTTTGCCTGGACCCTTACCTAAAATAATCATCACCACAGGGCTGTCATTTTGCTGTGTGAATCAGCACTATGAAGAGAATACTGTCATAAGGCTGCGAATCTACTGAATATAGGCCCCAGAAGTAGAGGAGACTTAGGCAGTGTTATGATTAAGCTAGTAGGAGATAGGAAGGAAAAAAATGTAATTAAATTCAGTGCTTTAAATTTAAAAAATCATATTCTGAAACTCAAGTTATGCTGCGTCATTTTCTATAGCTACAGAGAAACTTCTTTGGACTCTGATCTCTCTTTTGATGAAGCTAAGGATAAACACTGCCTCACTGTCCTGCTCTGTGTATGGAGGTCATGGTGAATCTTCCTTACCAGGAAACACAGAACACTCTGGAAGCCATTTCTTTTAAACCAACTTCTCTAAGCTGGTTCAAAATGAGTTTTAGTCATGAACTGGCTTGTAACTTCAGCCAAACTCTCTGAATGTTCTTTTTCTTTCTTAGAGGGTGCTACAGAAATAAACCTGAAATGTCCCTCTACAGCTCACTTCATGAGTCTGTGATTTCACCAAAGATACTCAGATTCATGGGGAGCAAAATGTCTTACTCATCACTTGATGACTCTTGGCATTGATAGATCTCTTCTACATTTTTTTTTGTTGTTGTTGTTCTCTTTTGTTTTCTCACAGCATTTTTAACTGCAAAAATTAGCACCTTAATATGATTGCTTTGCACTAAAGCCTGATGATAGTCTAATGTGTACAGACCCCATATATACACATATACATCCACATGCATATGGCTGCCTTGTCTTCGTGATGCTGGTTTCAACACAAGAGCAAGAAATGAGTCATTTAGCTCTTTGTACCTGATAGTATTTACCATGTAGCAACTAAAAGGAAAAACAGTTGAAACAAAAGAAAACACAAGTAAAAAATCAACATTCAACGCCCCAGAAAGTATCTATTAAGTGCCTATTTTCAATGGCATCAGGAACGAATGTCAGCTGACGTGAGATTTCAAGTGAAAGAAAAAAATTAAGCACGTGCCTTAGCTGAACTCATAGAGATATCAAGATGTGTAACTCAATATAGCCCCATGTGTGTTGTTGAACTTTCACTGAATCAGGAGGCGGAAGCCAAAATCACTCCCTTTATCATTTGTCCACTTAACATGTGACCCCGAAACTACCAGCTCCTTAGGGCAGAAACCTACCTTTCATGGCTCTCTATCACTGTCACCTAGCATAGGGCCTGGAACATAGTGGGTGCTCAATAAATAGTTACAGAATGAAAAAAGCTGGGCGGCTTACTTAGCTCTTCTGTCTCTCTCTGTTTTCTCATTTACAAAAAGAAATAACTGCCCACCCTACTTCATACAGTCGTTAAGACAGAATTTGCTCTACGTATAAAGTATCATTTGAATATTGGTCTATATCTTAAATATCTATTCACTATTAAAATGTATTGGCTTATAAAACAAGCTAATTGATGTTATGGGCTTCAGCCTCCCCTTATGTTTTGCTTTTTCCTTTCTGGCATAAGTACTGTGCTCTCTAATCTTCTCAGATTTACAAACAGATATGCTTCCCAAAATATTACCGAGAACTGGTTAAAGTTCTGGATTGAGTCTCGAGTTGGGAAATAAATTCCCTTCAAATATATCCAAAAAAGAGAAGATTCTGGTTCTTGTGGGAAAATGATAAAGAGCAGCTCCATCATCATGAGACAATGTTTAGCTTTAATTGTTTAATGACCACATAGAGGCCAGAAACCATTTGGCATCTTTCAAATATGTTTCCTAATAAAAAAAAAAAATTCCAGCAGACTAGAATCACTCTAGAAGATGCAACCAATGAAAGAGTGTATGATCCCATAATAAAATAGTGGCCATACTCAGCCTGCTCTTGGCTGAATCAGCCATGCAACTGGTATCATCATGGAGGCTGGGGTCACAGCATGGAACAGTTTCCTTTAGAATTTAGGCTGTACAACAACACTGTCTCAGCCCACCAAGGTTCTCAGGGCATGATGACTGGTATTTCATCAGCATCATGGGAGATTATAGTGGGTCAGAGAGGACAGAAAACCAGGAACACTAAATGAATCATATAGAAAACTGGCTAATGATTTTTAAATTTGTTTCCATTCATAAGTTCACTTGTATGTTAGTCAACAGATAACGATAGTGGTATGCTAAATACCAATTCAATAAGATTTCATTTAATTCTCACAACTCTGCATGGTAAACTTTATTATTCCTACTCTTGCCAGAGGACTAATCTAAGACTAAAAGAGGTCAAATAATTTGCTAGATTTAAATGGAGATCTGATAACCCAAAAGCCCCTTCACACATGGCACCGGACGACACTCCTTACATTTGCTTCCAATCTGGAGGCACGAGGTCATTTGAAAGAAGAAGCCTCTGAAAGAGGCAGGGGTGGGGGAAGGGGAGCAGTCGCCCCTACTGTTGTTGCTGTTTCAGGTTACCTTATATAATGCCTGGTCTAGTGGCCTATGTACTGAGTGTCCAATAGCTTGCTGACCACATGCTTCTGGACAGTAAGAGAGACGGTCTTTGGAACCGTATCTTTCATTCTTGCAAATTTTCTTGATCATTTTTCCTTGATCAGGGTTTATGATGACCCTGAGTTCCTACTACCCGGAAGGAGATAAGATTCACACTTCTGAGCCCCATGTTACCTGGATTTCATCCCCAGTGATCATTTCCCACGAGCCGTAATGACCCTTCTCCTGTCGGAAGAACTGAACAGCTTCTAAAAAGGCTTGGGCTTCAAATGTCGTCTGTTTCATGTAATCTAAAGGAAAGAGGAAGGGGCAATTAGCAAAGTGAAATTCTGTTTTATATTTTTTCCATGGTTCAACTGTGCCAGTTCGGAGAACTAGCAACATCAACAGCAGTGGTGGTGAACCCATGGCACGTGTGTCGCAGCAGGCTGTTTGTATCATTGAAAGCTCTGAAAGGTTTGCCATCACTGATCTATGGCAAGGCAAGAAATTAGGAGACACAGAAAAATCTAAGCAAGTACTTAAGTTAAAGTGCATTTTCAAGTGTACATCACATTACTTGTTCACCATCTTAGCTGATTAACTTTGTCAGTTCCTGAAAATAGCTGTTAGTACTAGAAAAAAGTTCATCTCCCTTCCTCTTTCTTATAAATAAATGTTTCCCTCTCTCCTTCTACATGCCAATAACTTTATGCTACTAACTGTAACATTTTCCTCACACAAGTCATGCAGCAACAGGGCCTTCTGTGAAAACTCTAATTTCCTTATGAGTTGAGACCAGCTACCTGTCAAAAAGATACCTACATAATATGCTAAAGACAACAATTACTAACACTCTTGCAGCAGGATACTGTTCACCTAAAAACTTCACCTATTATGAAAACAATGTCTTTGTAAACAGGGAAGGGTGGAGGAGGTTAAGGAGGGCTGGGAATGGGGAAAAATAAAAACCAAGATACATCATATAAAGGTACAAGATCCCAATGATGAATGTAACTGTATTGTATACCTAAAATGTACTAATAAAATTAATAAAGATAAAAAAAACTTCACCAGTTTCATGGAGACCTAACAAAAACTCCTGAAGACAGTATAATTATCACTCACATTTTACAGATGAGGAGACTGAAGCTCAAAAAGGTGAATTCATGGCCTGCGGTCACATAGAGGAGCTGGTGTGTGGTGGATGAGAACTCAGCAGTTTGACTTCAAGCCTACTTTCTAACCACTGCACTGCCCGGCTTCACATACCAGTTTATGGTTCATTTCCCAAATTCCACAATTCATGTGTCTTTCTTTCCAACACATACAGCTAGCTTTTGGAGGACACTGTGATAATAGAATTGTAGAAATTTTAGTGCGGAAATTGATTTAAAAATAATCTAACTGGGATCAGTTGTAGAGCATTTGATTGGTTTGCATGAGGCCTTGGGTTTGATCCTAACACCACAGACAAGGAAAAAAAGGAAGGGATTTAGCCTCTCCCATTATAGGACACAAAGTACTTTTTTTTTCAGTACTGGAAATTGAACCTAGGGCCTTCATACTGAGCTGTATCCTCAATCCTTTTTTTTTGAGACAGGGTCTCACTAAGTCACTAACTTGCCCAGGCTAGGCTCACACATGTGACAAGATCTCTTGCTAATAGGATATAATTTGCATTTATAGGATGATATTGTATGGGTCAACTGAAAGCACTGATTCATATGTTTAAACCATAAATTTAAACAGTGGTCAAGGACTAAATCATACAGGGGACTGAGCAGTGCAAAAAGAGAATCAATCTGCACTGAAAGACAGCAGACAACAGCTTGTAGATAGAACTCTTTTGAGATTTGCTTACTTGATCACAACCCTCAGGAACTTGGAGAAGGGAACATACAATTCAGGGTACAGCCTCAACAAGAGTTCAAACAAAATTCTCCACAGTGAAGACACTATGAAGTCCAGAACCTCAACCCTCCAAAATATAGACGGAGGCCTGATGTTTCTAATATTAATAGAGAGGTTTAGTCAAAATCAAAAATCAGAAAAGAGGCATGCCCCAAGAATCAAGTTTTTAAACCAAAGTACTTTATTCCTTGTACCTTTTCTTGGCTTGATGACTGATTTAGTGTTTAACCTCAGAGCTTTGGAAAACAAAAAGTTAAGATCTTGCTATAAAATTGACAACACCATTGGTAGTGTGGTTCCCACAAGGGGATCGCCGTATGTGCTCAGGACGCTGGGAGGGACTCCATCAAATGAGATGGAAACTGTAATTACTACACTGCAATTCAAAATTGACTCATGTGCTCTTATTTTTAACAGCTGTTTTCATTTCCAACCTAAGGAAATAAGGAGATGGAAGAAAATGTGGTACTGTATTTGGACAGAGTGAGTATGGCCAGACTTGCCAGGCAAGGAAAAAAGTTTTAAATTCTTCATGTCCTTAAATGAAGTGCAACTTTTCATATTTCTTCCCTCATTGACCTCAGAAACTGGGGCAGGTATTTCAAATCCTCTCTAGTACCTTCTATATCTATACCAAAGCAAACAAGGACACTTGCACTGATGCTTGCACTGCCAGTGATCTTTGGCAAAAATAAATGAAGAAATGGGATTTTGGAGACACTGATGTGGGGCTGAGAAAAGGCAAAGGAGGAACAGAAGGTGGGCTTGAATGTAATGATGGTGGAAGTAAAACACGGTAACTTAAGCGGAGAAGAAATTTATTAGTAATCAAATGAACAACAAAAAAATTATAATCACTGAACAATGAAGCCTCAGAGAATGACAGCTCTTGACCATTAAGGTAGAAAAACTAGATTTTTAAGCACTTGCTAACCACTGGGGGGAAAGGATATAATTTACTGGTTCATCATTAGACTTTCAGCTTATAGACCAATTAAATAAATTTATTTATTAGTAGAACAAATAGAAGAAGTTGCTTTATGGGTATTTGTTCTTAGGGCTATAAACAAAATTCAATAGCAACTGCCATATCATTAAGCAAATAAAAAACAAAGGTTTGCATTGTAAAAAAAAAAAACACTACATTGCAATAGTAACATGATCTTCATTTTTCTTAAGTTGTTTGCAAAGGCATTTGAACTCAGTCAGAATGTACAGGTGTTTGAGAGGCATCAGATTCCCAATTATTGACTGACTTCCTGCTAGAGATCTCAAAGGAACAAACTCCAGCTTCACAGTCCCCCTCTCCTGCCCAGAGAGCCCCCCAGAACCAACAATGGTTTGGATCTTTAAGCGATCTCCTTGCAAGCAAGCAGACTTAGAAAATGCCAGATACCAGTCCGAAATCTCTTTTCTAACACGTAATATGACAGGTGCACTGACAGAAAATTGGACAACATTAAATTCAGTCCCTCATTTTATGGAAGAGGAAATTGGGGCAAAAACATGGTTAATTCTTTTAGCTAAAGGTCACACAGCTGGTCAGCACCAGAGCCAAGAGTTGAAAAAGTGGCTCGGGTATGTCATAAGCAGCCTTGGCATTTCACACTGACTTAAGTCATAGACTATGGGAGTTGGAAGTGTTCTTAAAGGTCACCTACCTTGAGCTTTTGTTTAATGCTGTGATCTTTCAGAATCCCAGGCAAACACTCACTTGGCCTTGGTTCTAATATTTCTAGCAACAGACAGCTTACGATTTAATGAAATTGTTCTTTCCATCATTGAACTGCTCTAATTATTTGAAATTTTTTCCTTCTATCGAGCCAAAATCTGTTTCCATAAACTTTTTTTCATTAATCCCATTTCCCTTTTCATAATAAAATATACAATTTTACTCCTCTTCCATATGGGAACTTCAAAACAACAGCAATCCACTGAATATACTCAACTTTCTTCAACTAATCTATAAACAACATATCTTTTGGATCTTTTTTTAATTTGTCCCTCCTTTTTCTTTTCTTTCTGCAGTGATCCAATCTAATTTATCAACATCTTTTTAAAATCTGGCCTCTAGAACTGACTACAATATACTGCATGTTATCTGAGTAGTGTGAGTCACAGAAACAAGAAAGATTTCTTCCTTTTTCTGATTTCTAACCCTCTTTTTAATTACAACCACATCACACTGTTGACTCATATCTTTCTTGTAGTCCAATAAAATTCCTATACATTTTCATATAAAATTCTTGCCAATATAAGCCTCTCTGCACTTGTATTTCTCCTTTTGACTGAAGGACAGATTTTAACATTATCCCTATTAAATTACAACTTAGTGTGATCAGCATAACCAGCCAAAGCCTGCTGAAGCCTTAAAAACTGTAATTCTGTCTCCTAACCCCCTTGCACCTTGGTATCACTAGAAAACTGGCTAAGTTTATCTGCTGTGTTTCTATCCAATTCACTGATAAAACATTGACCAGATCAGGGCACAGACAGGGAAGTTTTCCCTGGGAAACTAAGCAGTTTAGAAGACATGTGGGAGACAGATTTTGGCCATTCATTTAACAATCACAGCCCCAGGACTGAGAAATGTCTAGGAATGCATTGTTCTCCTTAGCTTCTCCGTATTTCTTCATCCATGCAGCTGCATGGAAAACTCATATTTGGAAGACATGATTAAGGATTTTGCAAGGAAAGGAAATCTTCTCTAGGCCTCTTGGGGACAGTTATTCAGGGGGCCAGCCAGGGAGACATCACTTTTGTTTTTTTCCACTTAACACAGATTTATAACATGTCTGAGTCAACTGAAACAGCAAAACTCCAAGGGCTGTGGAGTCATTGTAGACTTTGACTCTGGCTGCTGCATTGGGACTGAGTTTGGAAGCTGCTCTGTTATTTTATTTTATTGGTTAAACGGTGCCAAACCATGTTAGCTGATCTGCCTGGTGATCTGTGAAACTTATGTAACAGCATTACTCACTTCACTGCTATGGTTTCTCCTCACTAATGCACACTTCTGAACAGTTCCCAGCTTTGGGCCCTAGGAGAGCTGCAGCAAGGCTGCTTGCCTTCCTTTCTCCTCTAAAGCAAGGGGAAGGCATGCAGGGGCAGGTATCCAACACTTACGGAGTCCCAACCATGGCGTAGAGGCCATGTCTCACGCGATGCTCCTAGGCAGTTATATACATTCCCACTTTACAAAGGATGAAGAAACTGAGTTTCAGGAAGGTTAAACAGCTTAAGTTAGTATGTGGGCAGACCAGGTCCACTCATCTCCAATCCTGCTATAACACTCTATGGTTTGATGTTTGAAATCTTTTTGAGGTAATTTTACAGTCACCTGCTAGTATATGAATTAATATAGATATCCTCCCTACCCTTTACCCAGGCCCCCATC